AACATTTTCGCTAAATTTAGAATCCATTTTTTCCTTTTTCTTTTGTTCGTACCATTGATGTTTACGCTCTTTGTTTTTTAAAACGGATAGTTCTTTAGCAATTTCATTTCTTTCTTGCTCAATCTCTTCCAATGATAATTGTGCCTTTTCCAATCCCAACTGATCTCCTTGTTGTGTTTTTGCACCTCTAATTTCTTGTGCAAGATCAAGCTGTGTTTCTTTGATTTTTAATTTACGTTCAAGTTCTGCTATGTTTATTTGTCTATTTTCACTTGTTATTGCAGCATGTGCGTTCCTTTTCTCACGAATTGTTGATTTGGATGCTCGAACACCAGGTTTAGGTGCGTTAGGATTTAATTTTGAACGAGGTTGTCCACGTTTATAATTATAACCTTCAAGTAAAAGTTTGGCTTTTGCCCTTTCAAATAATGCACCTTTGTTAGCTACTAATGCAGGGTCTGAGAGTGCCAATTCAATTGCTGCTTGATTTATCGCTTGCTCATATGTTGTCAACTGTCTTCTACTATTCTTACCATAAATTGTTGCATGATGTATAATAACATCTTTTGAACTTTGTGCATTAATAATATCTGGCATATTTGTTCCTGGCGTAACATTAAGGGCGCTTGTTGAAATGTTTTGAATCTGTTGTAGATGTTGCTGTAGATGTGGCGGCGGCGGCGGCGGCGATGTTGATGATGGTGAATGTGTAGATTGAACAAAGGTTGTTGTTGTAGATGATTCTTGGATGTCTTGAAGTTGTGTGTTATTATGAATGAATTTTGTTTCATTAGTTGATGAGTCATCATTATTTATAGAATTTAGATTGACTGTGTTGTTGTTGCTGTTACTGTTGTTGTTGCTGTATTTGTTGTTGTTGTTGTTGGTAGTAGTGGTAGTGGTGGTGGGTTGTGTCATTCTGATTAATGATTTTGATGAGTTATCTGCTGCTGGTGCTATCTTAATTAATTTTCGTCGTGAATTAACTGACTCTACCTTTATAAATTTTATTTGGTGAAATTAATTATATATAAAAAAAAAAAAACTTTGATAATATTATTTTATTGTATATATTATTATAACTTACAACTGACATAGATGTTTGAAGTGGTGAAAGTGGCGAAATATTCGAAAAGGTCAACGGAGCATTATGATGATAAACATTAGCTGTTCCCGGAAAAATTTTTTATTTACTATATAAATATATATATATATAAATATAATATTTTCTTGAAAAATACCTGTAGCAAGAGTTTGCCTTAATTCTCTAACACCTTTCTTAAAAGCTGCTGAATGAAAAGGTTTCATAGATATGGCCGACATGACTTCTTTTAGTTCTGCTTCATCAAATCCAATCAATTGTTCTAGATCATTTTCTCCTACACCTGCTTC